GGGCTGGCCATGCTCGCCCCTCTCGTGCTCGGGCGGGGGGCGCTGCCGCCGGACCCACGCGCACGCCTTCTGGGCTGGCTGGCTGCGCGCTCGCCCGCCAACCGGTCGGTGGGTCTGTCCCTGGTCCTCCGGGTCCCCGCAGTCTTCGGCTCCCGGCCCGGGTGTCCGTATTTATAGGTGCGCGCGCCCCGCGCTCGCGCTCCGAAGCGCTCTTTGCAATAACACGGTATCACGTGTGGGGAATGAAACCTGGGAGGAAAACAAAGCCGCAGGCGGCGACCGCGGAAGCAGGCGGCTGGAGGCGAAAGACCCGCGAAGGAGGAAGAGGAGGAGGAAGGGAAAGTGGGGCGGGGATCGGCTGGACAGTCTATTTCCAGGAGTGTTGGTGGCGCCCCGGAAGCGCGGGATCCAGGTGCGGGAGGCGAGCACGCTTCCTAGCGCTCTCAACTCAAACCAGGAATTGGGGTGTGTGAACAGAACCAGTGAATCGCGGAGTGTGGTGTGTTCCTTGGAGAGTTTTGATTATGCAGGACAGTTTTTCTGGTAACACAGAGATTTGGCTGCTGACCGAGTTAACTGGACCCCAAGAAATATAGGTCCTTAAGCAACCGCGAGGCCGGGTTGAACCGCAAGCTCGGTGGACCTTATACAGGGTCGCCATGCGTCGGAATCTACTTGAAGGCACATAGCAACAACATTAATAGTTACGCGAGTTGATCCACAGCCTCTAAGTGTACATATCCACTCCAAAGCTGTCGCTAACATTTGTAGTTGGATCTCATTCATTTGCAGGCCAAAGATGCAGCCCCAAGGTAAAAGCTAGGTCTGGATGCTTCAGAGCTCAGCCGCGTGAACAGTGGGACTAGACGAATTTGATGGAACTTGTCGTTTATTAACATAAATTTTCACTTCGGTGCTGAAACGTGCTTAATTTTCTAGGAAGACCAAGGTGGGCTAACATGACCTCACATCTTCCTTCCTCTTGTCACTTTGCGTTTTGTGCATTATTCCCCCTACTCCCACCCTGCTATAAACTTGAGCTAGGTGCTTTCTGCCACCCATCTTTTTGGCACCTACCATACCTTTCGTAATGATGGGTGGATGATCTTTCCAGAACTGCTACTGGGGTCAGGGAGGGGTGGCAGAGTGCTCGATCCACTCCACTCCACCTCCAAACCCACTATAACACAGTGCTTGTCCTGCATATGGGCCTCACAAGGAACATCAGAACACTGTGCAGGGTTTGACTTGTATGTATTTGACTTACCAAATTCAGTGAGGAATAAACAACTGGTACACTGAGTTGAGCTCTGTGATACCTAAGAAAGGGAGTTACACTTTTCTGAGGGAGAAGCAATGTGTTTTAGATCAGTGGATTAATTTAATTAAAGGTTTAAATTTAGCCCTGGAGATAATGGGTAGCTCTATGTGGAAATTCCACTCCATGTCAAGTTCAGGGAAAGTAAATCCAGTAATGGAGAGCAAATACACACTGTGCTGAGATGCACAGCCAACTCACAGGGTGAGATACCATGGGTTTCAGGTTACATTAGCTGAGGACAAACATTGCATGGTTACCTAAATGAGTAGTTGCTATTCAAATTTTATTTTATGCCATTTTTATGCCTTTTGAAAAATTGGAGCCTGGTTTCTACTTCTTGTTGTTAAGTGCAGTCAAATTGGTTCTGACCCATAGTGATCCTGTATAGGGTTTCCAAGGAGCAGCTGGTGAGCTTGAACTGCAGACTTGGACTTTGCCGTCTGACACATTAGCCCACAGCACCACACCAGGTTTCTACTTACAACAGCCTTATTGCAGCTGTGGTTAGTGTTAGTGTGCTGACAGAAAAGTTTGCAGTTAAATCCCATCAACCTCTCCAGGGGAGAAAGATGTATTCGTTTGCTTTCATAAAGATTACAAGTTTGAAATCCTATGGGGGCAATTCTATCCTATAGAGTCAGGGTCACTATGAGTCAGAATGGATTCCTAAACAAAGGGTTTGGCTTGGTTTTGGTTTACAGCAGGTGCTATCAGCTCTGTGGAATTGAATCAGGATTTTAATTACTTTGTTTAACTAACTACCTTGAAACTTTCATGCCGCTTTTTTACAATTGACTTAATTTACATGACCACTGGCCCTGAAAGGTTGTACTGGAAGACAGTTCTAAAAGACTTTAAGACTGCTCATTTACAAGACAAAAAAACAAGTTGAATGTTACTTTTCTATTACAAAAGTGATGGATGTTTAATTGCAGAATGTTTAGAAAATAAGATAAGCAATGAGAAGAAAGTAAGCATCGCTGAAAGTCTCATCAACTATAGAAATAACTGGTTTCTTTCCCATGTGGATTTTTAAACAAATGTGTAATTATGCTGTTTGTATCTTGTGATTTTTATTATGGTGTGCTCATCTTACCATTTAAAATATTTTTCTAAAGCATCATTTTAATGGCTGCACAGTATTGCTACAGATACTAGAATTTTATAACAAAAATTATGCTTTGTTATTGAAAATTTAGGTTGTACTCATTGTTATCAATTCAATGGTGATTTCTAAATCTTAACTACTATCCAATATTAAGGAGCTCTGGTAGAGTAGTGGTTACGAATTGGGCTGCTAATCTCATGGTCAGCAGTTCAAAACTACCAGCTGTTCCATGGGGAAAAGATGAGGCTTTCTGCTCCCATAAAAATTTACAGCCTCGGAAACCATATGCAGGGTCACTACGAGTCGGAACCAACTCCACGGCACATAACAACAACAGCATCCAATATTAATTCCTCAGGTTAAATAGTGCTAAGGCAAATAGCATATTGAATTTTTAGGCTTTCCACCCAAAAAGATTGTCCCAAATTACATTCCCACCAAGCATGTCAGAATTCTTCTGCTTCCTCACACTCTTACACCCCTTATTAAAAAAAATCAGTATCCACTTAGTTTCCATAAAATCTAATTCCAAATTTTATCAAATGATGAAAAAAGAATCAAGATCTGTTTAACCTCCAAAATAATCCTGTTAATCCCTTCATGTGGATCATGTATGTTGTTGCTGTTTTTGTTGTTAAGTGCCATTGAGTTGGTTCCAACTCATAGCAATCCTGTATAGGATTTCCAAGGAGCAGTTGATGGGTTTGAACAACCAACCTTGCAGTTAGCAGTCCAGATCATGTATGGTGGAGTCAGTTCTGACTAATAGCGACCCTGTACAGGGTTTCTGAGGCTGTAAATCTTTACAGGAGCAGAAAGCTTCATCTTTCTCCCTACAGAACAATGGAACAACTGGTAGTTTCGAACTATTGCCCTTAGGGTTAGCAGCCCAACTCATAACCACTACGGTACCAGAGCTCCTTGGGAATCATGTATACCTGTATATAATTTGTTATTTACTGTATGCCACCACAGTATGACAAAGTGACAGACAAGTGGTGGTATTGGAAGCTATGCCACCAGTATTTAAAACACCATTGGGATCACTCTTAATGGACAGATTTCAGAGGAGCTTCCAGACTAAGACAGGCTAGAAAGAAGGACCAGTGAAAATCTCAATGGCAGCAGAACATTGTCTGATAAAGTACCAGAAGTTGAGCCCCTCTGGTTGGAAGTCAATCAAAATGTGACAGGACTGTTTTCTCTAAGTAGAGTTTTCTCCAAGTAGAGTTAAGTGTTGTGGGTAGGATGAAGCATTTGGAATCTTCATTTGCTGATGAGGCACAACTCAAAATGAGGAGAAACAGCTGCAAGCATCCATTAATAATCATAACCTGGAATGTACTAAGTATGAATCTAGGAAAACTGGAAGTTATCAGAATTGAAAGGGAGCAATTGAAGATCAGTATCCTAAAAATTAGACACAATGGATGTCAGAAAAGCCTCTTAAACTTGTTCTTGAACATAGAGTTGTTGTCAAGTGCCCTGGAGCTAGTTCTGATTCACAGCCTAGCAACCCTGTATAGGACTTCCAAGGAGTGACTGGTGGGTTTGAACTGCCAACCTTGCAATTAGTAGTCCAGTGCTTTTTCTACAACACCACAAGAGTTGTTGTTGTTAGGTGCCATCAAGTCAGTGCCAATTCATAGCGACCTTATGCACAGCAGAACGAAACACTGCCCGATCCTGAGCCAACCTCACTACTGTTGCCACGCTTGAGTCCATCGATGCTGCCACGTGGAGTAGCTAAAACAAAAGAAATGATGAAGGAAAAGACTTGAACAGAAAAATTTCAAAGGGCAGCTCCAGAAGACAAAGTAAAATATTATAATGAAATGTGCAAAGACCTGGAATTAGAAAACCAAAAGAGAACACAGTCAATATTTCTCAATCAATTTCTTGAGTTGCCATATTGAAGAATTATTTGGACAAAATATTGAGTTATGCAGGAAACACCTAAAGAAGGTGGAAGGAACACACAGTACTGAGCCAAAAAGAATTGGTCAATGATCAGCCATTTCAGGAGGGAGCAGATGATCAAGAATGATACTGAAGGTATGTCAAGCTGTACTGAAGGCACTGGTGAAAAACAGTTCTCCAGGAATTGATAGAAAACCACTGGGAACATTTCGACAAATGGATGCAACTCTATACCAAGAAATTTGGAAGACAGACTACCTGGTCAACTGAAGAGATCCATTTTTATAACCATCCCAAAGAATTCCAAAAAAGGTGATGCAACAAAATACAAGAATTACTGAACAATATCATTACACACAGTTAAAATGTTGTAAAGTTACACATAAGTAAAATTTTGCTGAAGATGATTAAAAAATGTTTGCAGCAGTACAT